TTAAGTAAGGAAATAGAAGCCCTTTTTCAAAAGCCCACAAAGCCCACGTCAGTTCCCTTTGTTTCCTGTTTTTTTAATTTCAAAACCCTGGTCCAAAACGACGTCGTTTTGGCCAGGTTTTTCAAAAAAAAAAAAGGGCAGCGCATATTAAACAGACTGGTCCCAAACGACGCCGTTTTGGCCAGACAGCTGCAGAATTGGTCCTCTTGAATGACAGCATGAGAATAATATTCTTCAATTTCATGTATTAGATAAAATAAATCGAGCACAACTTGATAGTGAAAGGCGAGTCCAAGAGTTGATGGACACAAGTGAGTTCAAGGAAGAAGATGAGAAAGGTATAGATGTACCTTTTCTCGATTTGCAAAGCATACTAAACGCAACAGATAATTTCTCAGATGCAAACAAGCTTGGACAAGGGGGCTATGGCCCTGTTTACAAGGTAATGGAGGAATACTTGTTTTCCATTTCATTGCAATTGAACCACCTTAGCAACACTTATGTGTTGTGTTATTGTTCCTAGAAAATTGTTTATCATTAATGATCATGTATTCTGGTTAGTTGTAAATTGATGAAAGGGGATTTTTTTTTTCCAGGGCAAGTTTCTTGGAGATCAAGAGATCGCAGTAAAGAGGTTATCAAGGGCTTCAGGACAAGGCTTACAGGAATTTAAGAATGAGGTGGTGCTAATTGCCAAACTGCAACACCGAAACCTTGTTAGGCTTAAAGGATATTGCATCAAAGGAGAAGAAAAAATTTTACTCTATGAGTACATGCCTAACAAAAGCTTAAGACTTCTTTATATTTGGTTTGTTCCTAGTCCTCATTTCAATATTTTTATACTGCATGATATATGGTTTGTTGAATACCAGAGCTCCCAAGTTTCTCTAATGGATAATGCAAAGTTTGCCAGATCATACAAAAAGCATCTTTCTCAATTGGGAGATGCGCTTTAATATCATTTTGGGAATCGCTCGAGGACTTCTTTATCTTCATCAGGATTCCAGATTGAGGATCATTCACAGAGATTTGAAAACCAGCAACATTCTCTTAGATGAGGAGATGAACCCCAAAATATCTGACTTTGGCTTGGCAAGGATTGTTGGAGGCAAAGAAACTGAGTCTAACACAAACACAGTAGTCGGAACTTAGTAAGTTTTGTGCAGACGGTTTAATTTTTAGTTTGGATGCTTCATACATTGTAGCACAAATTTATTGACTGTTATCATAATTTGTGATGCAGTGGTTACATGTCTCCAGAGTATGCATTAGATGGAACTTTCTCAGTGAAATCAGATATGTTTAGTTTCGGTGTGGTTCTTCTAGAAATAATCAGTGGAAAAAAGAACACAGGATTTTATCAATCCCAACAAACTTTCAGCCTCATAAGTTATGAGTGTGCTGTTGAATCTTTCATATCCATTTATTTTAGGGGTAATTGCATTTTTAGTCATAGGGGTTATGGTCTAATTAAATTTTGGTCATCGAAATTTCAATTTTTTGATTTTGGTCACCGTATTTACAGCTGTTAGCAAATCAGGGCATATGCTTTAATTCTGTCAATTTCATTAATTAAATTTTTTTTAATATTAAATTATAAATAAATAAAAATAATTTTTTTTAATTATTAGATCTCTTTACCCAACCCCCACCGGGCAGTGACAGCCATAACCACCCACCTCAAAAGTGAACAATGCAGACCCACAAACCCACCCCTTGCCACAAGCCCCTGCCCAACATCAGCAGCACCACCCCGCCCCCCTCCGTCTCTGTCTCTCTCTCGACGCACCTCCATCCCCAATCAACCCCGATCTGCCTCCATGTTTGGAAATCCAGATTTGGAACCCATCACGAGATCATACGGCCCCGCGACTCTCTTCGCTAACCTCTCTTCGTCGTCCATATGCCGCAAAACCCTAATGTTCCCCATCACGTGCCGCGCGTTCCTAGAGTGGCTGGGGGGGGTTGGGGTGGCTAGAGTGGCTAGGTTGGTGGGTTGTGGGAGGGGGCAGTCATGTTTTGTTTTTTTTTTGGGGGTTGGTGGGGGGGCGCGTCGCGGCGAAACAGAGGAACAATGGTGGTTTTTTTGGTTGCAGGGAGAGAGAGCTCCCAAAATCAAAGGCCTTGTTCTTGAGGTCTCTCTCTATGAGACCCAGCAAAGGAGCGTTTGGGTCAATTGGGCATGCCAAAAATCTCTACTTTCTGGGCATTATCTCTCATCTCCTATTTCTTAATCTAGGGCTTATTCAAACCAATCAACTGCCTAAGTCTCCCTCCCAAGTGTATCACCAAACGCCAGCCCATCAATATATTATTATTGTGTTCAGACTTGCATGAGCCATTCAATTTCTCTATGTTATGTTCATCATCAGAACCATGTTCTGTACCAAAAGCAAGGTCACCTTTCTCTTTATCACGACCCACCTTCCGTTCTTTTTTTAATTTTTTTACTTTTTTTTTTATAATTTTAAATTTTCTAAGGAATTTGCCTTGTAGAATGACAAATTTGCCCTAATTAAAATAATTAAATTTTATTTATTTATAATTTAATATTAATTAATGTTACTGACAAAATCGAAGCATATGACTTGATTTGCTAACAGCTGCAAATAAAGTGATCAAAATCGAAAAATTAAAATTTTGGTGGCCAAAATTAAATTCGACCCTAACTTCAGTGACTAAAATTGTAATTACCCCTTTATTTTATAACCCCATTTTCATATTGTTTGGATTACACCATATTGAAATGTAAAAATTTTCTCAGGCATGGAGACTCTGGACAAAAAACGAGGCCTTGGAACTAATGGACATGACTTTGGATGAAAGTTGCAACAAAAATCAATTTATCAAGTGTGTCAATGTTGGGCTCTTATGCGTACAAGAAGATCCCGTTGATCGTCCTACGATGTCAAATGTTCTTACCATGCTTGACAGTGAAATTGCAATCTCTCCAACTCCTAAACAACCAGCCTTTCTCTTAAGGAGAGGCAACAACTCCAGCACAGCTTCTTCTTCTACTAAGTCAGAAACATTTGCCGAAATAACTACAAGTCTAGAAGAAGGTAGACAATTAAAGAATGGTTTGGGGCTGCAGTTACTAGTTAGTCTTTTTATCCTTTTAAGTGAACTTTTGTCTCTTCATGTATAATAGTTTTCTTTGTTTATATTTAAGTGTAACTTTTCCTTCGTAATGATGATCAATTTTTTGTTTCTTCTGCTTTGATGATTCTACGTGGTAACCTTTTGTGCTTCTGTCGGTCACAAATATTTGACCTCTTTGCAATGCAACTTGGACTCATTGCGTATATTTTATTCTGCAGACCAAAAAAAAAAAAAAGAAATCAACTTGGAACTCTGTTTTGTGTGGGAGTTTTGTTGTGGTCAATGATAGGTTTGATATAAGGAGATTCAACTGTTCGTCAACTCGAACACGAGACAATTAATAATTATTCAAGCAAAGAATTTGTAACTCAAGTAATTAAGAATATTTATCTCTTCGTTCAAAGTCTTGTGTTCATTTTCCCCACCCGTGCAGAATATAGTTTGAAGGCTTTCCCCGCGGATGTTAGGTTTAGGTTTGGTTGTTGTGTTTATGTATGGCTGAGGGGTTGTGCTGCTTTGACAAATTCAGAGCTTTGGTTTGTCATTAGAAACCTCCAATAAGCAAAAATACGTGCCCTCTAGTAAGTTTCTCCGTCTTTTTCCCAAATTAAGGTTTTGGATGGATTCAGAAGCTCAAGCTATTGCGCCTTTTTAATTTTATTTTTTATAATTTCATAAACCCATTAAAAAACTCATGCAGGTCGACTTTGGTGTTCTGGGTCTCTATCATCCTATTATCTTACCCTCCTTCCTTGGCCTGGATGCCCTGCTTGCTTTCCCAATAATTCAATCTGGTCTGATTAGACACCACTCGAATTGCGTATTATTGTAGCAGTGGCCTTTCAATTATAGCAGTAACATTGTATTTTGGTAATTACATTTAACATGGCGGCTGCTCAGTGGCGAAACCAGAATTTTAAATGTGTGGGGGCCTTTTATAAATTATAAAAAATAAAAAATTTGAACTCACAATACATACGAAAAATAGTATATATATATATATATATCACATATGTCAAGATTTATATTGCTTATTGGTTGCAATCATAATTGTCCTCGACAAAAGGATAGACAAATACATTCTAAGCAAGAAAAATTGCAAGAGATAGACAAAGAGTAGCGATTTAGCAAATATCTTTAAAGCTTTTCCCCCCATTAAACCTAATAGAAAGAAAAAATCAAAAATTCTCAAACTAAAAAAAACCTTAGGTCCCTTCATGCATTCAGATCATACATGAAAAAAAAATATTTTATGTAAAAATATTGACTAAGTATGAAAAATGGTTTTTCAGAATAATCATTTTCTCAAGATAATTTTTGGCGGCTTTTATTCCTTATACTTTAAATAAGAAAGCTTGATTTTATGGGATTTTAGTATGAAGTATATATTGACTTAATGAGTCATCATTTTTAGCCTAAATCATATTTTGCACTAAAATCGATTTTTCATATTTTGATTTGGTGGGAATTTGATTTTCTAGTATTTTTATTTGAATCCAAATAAGGGGTACTTCTTTATTTACGTTGTAAACTTAAGTAAATGGAGTAATATACAAATAAATGAAAGTAAAATGACAAAGACATTTACTTCAATGTTGAAAGTGGAAATAAGGTAATCTGCACACCTAGAGTGCACCACCACCAGTTGAGCAAAGGGCAATTTGAAACACCTCCTTGTGCCTTAATGTTAATAGGTTCGACACAACAAATGTGGTTACATATCAAAACCTAAAATATTTGAAATAATATACATATAGAAATACATAATAATATATTACTTTAAAAAAATAAAAAAACTTGAGTAGGGGCCTGGGACCACACTGGTCCCAGTGTGGCTTCGCCCCTACAGTTGCTGCAAATGGAGTTAGCTTAGTGGAAAAGGCATTGACTTGTAGATTAGAGGTATCAAGTTTGAAATTCCATGACATCTTGGTTGTTTTAGTGTGAAAAACCCCTCTCCCATATAGTTTAGACTATGACTTGTACTAAAAAAATAAAAATAAAAACATGGCAGTTGCTGCTTACTTTCATCCAATGGTGGACATTAATCTACAAAAGAATACAAGAGCATATAATGTGGGGTTTTAACTAAGACACTGAAGAACTGTGTTAATAAAAAATAGAGTCTACCTTTCTTTAAAAAAATCAAGTTAAATGGGTGCTTGGGCCCGAGCATGGGCATGGCCCGATTATGAGCATGCCACGGCCCAATGTGTACTTGGACTTTGGGCCAGTTTTAATAAATGGGCCAGCACGGCATGATCCTATTAATTAAATAGCACGGCATGACCTAACACGAATAACTTAGTGGTGCGAATTTAAATGGGTCCGGCCAGCACGATACGGTCCGTTTGACACCTCTAGTTACATGTCTTCGAAGTATGCATTAGATGGAACTTCCTCAGTAAAATCATATGTGTTTAGCTTCGGTGTGGTTCTTCTAGAAATAATCAGTGGAAAAAAGAACACATGATTTTATCAATCCCAACAAACTTTCAGCCTCATAAGTTATGTAAGTGTGCTGTTGAATCCTTCATATCCATACCCTTTATTTTAGAACCCCGTTTTTATACTTTACCCAAGTTGAAATTCTTTAGAATCAAAGATCTTTAGATTCTAATTCTATCAAGGAAGTTCAGGCCTTGATCTAGTAATATTAAAAGGATCGAGGAAGTTCAGGCCCTGATCTCTTGTATAATACAAACTCATCTTAAGATATAATAATTAATTAAAATCATGCTTAGAGAAATAAACAAATAAACTAAACCATGATAAGGTTAGAATTGTATGAAAATATGAAATAACAATGAAAGTCATATAACCTACAAAATGCCATAAATATTAACGAAGAAATAAGGCATATGCCAGTATTGAGTAAAGCATATCATCTCAAAATGATTAAAGCACCAGAGCTCAATAAGATGAGAGAGAGATGAAAATATAAAGGAAGCATGCAACCAAAATAAAAATATCAAACATGGCATTCATGCCTAAGATTAAGAAACTTTTTTTAAAAATTAAAAAAAGGAGCATGGTAAAGTCTGATGGTGAAGACAAAGAGATCTATACCATACGATAACTCTAGCTCAAACGGAAAAGAAAATTCAGATAAAAAAATAATATCAAGAGCAACATCGTGATGAAAACGTGCATTCTTCATCTTTGATAAGTACCTCTACGGATCGGGCTAAATGTGGCTTCCCTGTGACAACACAACAATGGTGGGCCAAAAATAATCATTCAATTCATGCTTAAAAAATTAATGCATGCTTACAAACATACACAATAAAAAATCACATAATATGGATTAGAAGAACCTGAATAATTGAGTTGAGGCAAGTGTTGGACACTCTGACCTTAAAACGAATTACGTTCCACACTGGTGTTTATGGTTCACTAGCGTTCGCCTCCCAGGATACAACGATTCCCCTCCTTATGAAAGAAGCACTGCAATTCACAAGGAACTTTGAACCAAATTATACAGGAACCTCTCTTTATGAAAACTCTAATGCTCTCTATATATGAAAGTCTGTATATAGAGAATTAAATTGAATGAATAAAACTGCAGGAGGATTGTTCTATTTATAGATGATGAAATACCATTTCCAAAAAGGTATCCCAATATGAAAAGGCAAACAAAGCATCCCTTGGTCTGAAGAGTTGTCACTCCAAACAATGCATCCCTTGGTTTGAAGAGTTGTCACCTCCCATGTGATGATGTCTTTAACCCAATGGTCATGTCTTTAACCCGATGAATTTTATTAATTTTCATTCAAATAGGAAAATTAATATTAGTTAATATTAAATTTCCAACCGCCCGTCCCACAATAATTCAATACTAAAAAAACAAAACTGATAGCGGCTTTAACTTGACCCCTCTTTTAATTGGTTGCACTCTAAAGAAGAAGAAGAAAGGAAGGTAAGAAAATAAGTGACCAGGAATTAAAGAAGAAGAAGATAGAAATTTTCCACATAACAAAACAAGAGACAAAGAAACAATAAAAGTAGTGGGCACATGAAAAAAGAAGAGATAAAAGCAGACGACCTAGACCTAAACATTGGGCCAGCTACTTTTTTTCAATCATTCAGTTGAGTCCATAACGCAGCAACTTTTAGTCAATATTGATACATACATAGTGAAGAGTACCTTGTGTATTGATGTAATTAGTTAAATTGCATGTTGATAAATGAACCACGAATATGGCTTGTGGGACAGAATTTGCGGGCAGAAAAAGAGTTATCTATTTTTTAGGAAGAGATAATGTACTTGTAGCTTAGTGCTAATGGTGAAGATCACCAGGCCATTTTTGTAACACTCAACTCTGATGATGGTTTGCAGAAGGAGGATTGCAAGAACAAATTGCAGCATTACATGGTTTGCATTGTTACTCTTGCTGTGCTCTGGGCACCCTCTTTGCTGTGCTAGAGATACACTTACGTATGACACTCCAATTCGAGGAGGTGTCAAATCAGAAACTCTTGTTTCGGCTGGAGGAAAATTTGAACTGGGATTCTTTACTCCTTTAAATTCATCTGCAGAAAGCTATGTTGGCATTTGGTATCACAATCTGAATCCAAGGACAGTTGTTTGGGTTGCTAACAGAGAAAAACCAGTTTTTGTCAATTTAACTAGCAGTGGAGTTTTTGCAATCAAAGAAGGTAACCTCCAAGTGTTGGATAGTTCTACTGATGATGAGTCTTATTGGTCAACAGGGCTTGAACCAATCAAGTCCTCAAATTTGACGGTGAGGCTTATGGATTCTGGGAACCTGGTGTTGTTCAGTGATGATGGTGAAGATGATCGGCTGGCAGTGCAAAAAAGTTTGTGGCAGAGCTTTCAAAATCCAACTGATACATTCATTCCTGGGATGCTGATGGATAAAAGCTTAGAATTGACTTCATGGAGAGACCAAGATGACCCAGGAATTGGAAACTTCACCTTCAAGCTAGATCAAGAAGGAGACAATCAGTATGTTATCTCAAGAAAATCAATTCCTTATTGGAAAAGTGGAGAGACAGGTGAGTTTTCCACCTCAGCTGAAATGC